AGTGTGATGGTTACAATGTTGAGCAAAAAAAAATCATCTTTTCTGAGGTGGTCCTGAAGTATAAGCCCACTCCTTATTTTTCTCGTTTTTACACGTTGACGTTCGGGCTTATGATCGGTATACATGTCAATCAAAAACATTTTCACTGGATCTAATTTTATCGGATGTGATGTTGCAGGGATATTCACTATCTTAAATTCACTGGCTTGTGAAGAAAACAAAAAAATTTCTTGTTATTATTGAATAGAGTAAAAGCCTTTATTTTTCATGGCATTTAATTTCACTATTTCAATATTATGTGCATATTCATTGGGTTTTAAGTTCATGAATTTGTCAGTGAAACAACAAGTTCTATTACTATTATTTTACATGTTCATGTGAATTTAATTTAGTTGATTTTACTTTACAGCAAAAATAGCAAAATGAATGCATTTACAGTATTGACGAATTTAGCCCATTTAGCTATCAGCGAATTAAGTGAAAATAAAACCCAGTGAATGGTCAAATCTCATGCAGCATATAAGTCAATTGGGTTATATGTAGGTCAATGGGGATATTTGTAGGTCAATTGGGTTATATGTAAGTCAATGGAAATATTTGTAGGTCAATGGAATATATGTAGGCCAATGGGGATATATGTAGGTCAATGTTGTATATAGGGCGATGGAACCAGCAGCAATTCACAAAGGCCACAAAGGACTTTGCTAAGAATTTTGTTGTTGTTATCACCTGTTAATTATGGTATAATACAATAGTCAATAAATACAATTTTTTTGCAAAACAAAAAAACATTTCATGAAATGTGAGGTTTAGACCACAGATGATGTTAATTCATAACAACCCAACACCATTACCCACAATCCTTTGCAACACAGGATTAGTTCAGTCTGTGCTGCCACAAACCTACCTTATTCTGTTTTTTACATTTCACAAAAAAAAAAGAAAAGAAAGAAAAAATGATTACATGATTGTATGAATCCTAAAAGATTGTCAATCTAGTTCAAATGATTGACACTTGTCCAAACTGTTCAGTCTGCTGTGCATGACCAGACCAGAGTTTTTATAGTTTTTCTTCCTTTCATTACGAGTAAAAGTTCTGACCTATGAAGCAGAATAATGCACTACAACTAAATTAAGAAATGAAAGAATAATTTATAGCAGTACAAAGAGTCAAGGAAAGGAAAATGATAATTTGTGACATACACTAATAACAGAACAAAAGTTGAGGATATCAAAGAAAATGTCAAAGAAATAGAGAAGGGAAGAACATGCAAGCTGGATGTCAAGACACCAGATGGACACCAGAGGACAAAGAGAAACATAATGTCAGGGGGAAACATTCCAGTGGAAGGTCAGAGAATACTGGAAAGATATGAACAAAGCATCAAGATCATCATGGTGATGGTCAAGTTCAAGAAAATGATGACGATAATAAAGATGATAATCGAAATGAAGACAAGAGGAGAAATAAAATTTCAATGTTTTGTAGTGAGTGAAAAACAGTAATTTTTTTAGCAACATAGAGACAGTATGCTAATCTATAAATGTGGCTCCTTGTATTAAATATGAGTAGACAAACACATACCTTTTTCTTGATGGTGACGACAACTTCTCATGCATATGTAATGCATGACCTGGTGACCTCTCAGTTGACTCTACGATATCACCCCAAGATGATGTCTCTCGTTTATCATACTGATCAATGATATCACCCCAGTCCAACGTCTTTTGAGACAACTCCAAGGAGCTCATAGTATTCTGAAATATCATTGTTGAATGCAGTGACTTATACATGCGTTGTTCAACCATTCTTATATTGATCCCTGGGGACGCTATGCACTCTTGTTAAGGATCGATTTATTTAAGGATAACCAACAGAACTAAAGCCTATTTACAGACTCTGAATTAAAGCAAGTTCTAGCCATCCCATTGTAATCCACTTGTGTAACAACGTTGCTGTAAATTTTGCATTGAGGACGGAACAGCTAAGAGGACCGACCTATTTACAACACCTACTGGTATGACATTAAATAATTGTCACAATTATAGTTATATTAAGTGATTTGAGCTAAACTGAATGCAGTAAGTTATATAAATGCTAACAATCGCATCAGACACTATTTTCATTGGTTAATGACATGTGAGGTAAAATGCAAATGACCGCATCATACAACATCATTTTTGTCATGTCAATTGAGACAGTGTACAGAACATAAAGTAATAAAGATTAATTTGTTATTGACAGTTTTTGAAGAAATGAGAAGCTTTGCTCCAAAGTTTAATTTTTTTGTAATGTTTCAAATTAGTGATTTGTGTGACACTAAAATAAACTTGAAATACACCATGACAGCTAACAGACAATAATTCAGCATCTTACCCCAAGATCACTTTCCTCTTCATTTTCTGTTTCAACTACAATTTCTTTATTCTCTTCTTCTTCAATTTCTTTGAAAAGTTTTTCTTCCTCTTCTATTGCAGACGCCATCGCCTCTTCTTGACATTTCTCTAATTGTGTAGTTAACGTCTCTTCTTCATCAAGTACTGCCACCATAGCCTGGTATGTAAGTGACAAGATGGAATTTGTACAATAGTTTCCTTTGAGTGGTTATTGAGACATATAAACAAAGGATAGTACTCAAACATGACATTAATAATTTTTAAGGTACCAACATTTGTGATGTAGTTTATCCCAAATAATAGAAATCAGAACATTCAACGAGTGCAGACATGTTTTGGAATAAATGCAGAAACAGCTTTTCACTGAAATCAATTGTTTTCAGTGCTACATGTAGATGTTACATCTGTTTGCATGTCTAATTTTAAAACACCATGATATTTTTGAGAGTAGCAGGGTTCTGATACTTGATTAAAGATTATACTACAAGCCCTTTCATGGTAATTATTAATCTATTATACAAAATATAAGTTTAACTCAATTATTAAAAATGGTGTGCACATATAGTCCTCATTTCCTCACCGGTGAGAAGCCAACTACAAGTTATAGAGGGATTACTATTCTATTACAATGTAGTCACCTAGTTGACCCTTCACATGATGAGATACATGTAGTCAAACAGTAAATTTTACTACCATACTGAATTATTTAAAACAAGCCATGCATGACACAGTCCCTGTTAGTTATCAAATTGAAGATATATAGTTTTGTTTATAGTAATATAGCTGGAATATAACCATGTCAGGAATATGATTATGATTGTTTAACATTAAAATGATTGACATTTGTATCTGATCGTCAAACAAGTACTTGTCCATATTGGGAGATATTACTCTGGAACATCATTAATTAAAACAAAATCAGCCATTTTGAAAACATGTATATATCTATAACATGATGTATAACAAATATATAAAATTTTAACATAATCAGCCAAAGCATGTCAGAGATATGGAACTATAAGCACATTTATTAAAACAAAATGGCCGCCAGTTAGCCATTTTGAAACCGATCTGAAAAATAAAATGACATGCATCAGGAACCCGTAATGTCTAATGTATATACCGAGTTTGAACGAAATCCATCCATGAATGCTTGATATTTGATGATTTTTTTAGCACAAAAATGGCCACTATTTGGCCATTTTGAATAGGATCGTCAAACCAATATATCTGTATATCTTTGACATGATGTATATTGAATATTAAAAATTTGAAAAAAATCAGTCAAAGCAAGTCAGAGATATGGGTCTAGAAGTCCATTCATTATAACAAAATGGCCACCAGTCAGTCCTTTTGAATCCGATCTGAAAAATAAAATTGTTTGCAACAAGGTCCCATAATGTCTACTGTATATACCAAGTTTGAACAAAATCAATGTGTAAACAGCCGAGAAATGCTTGATTATGATTATTCGGCCATCTTGAATCAGATCGTGAAACAAATTAACGTGCATATGTAATAATATCATGTATGATGTATGTGTGAAGTTTGATTATGGTTCGTCGAGGCATTTCTAAGAAACAGGTCCGGACGCATGCATGAACGCACGGAAGCACAGACACACAAGGGTCAAAACACAAGTCCTAAAAACAAAATCCCAATAATAGTGTAAACGACAGACAATACAGGATCCCACAATTCCACAGCTCATTCCTGAGACTTGACAGGGTCCCTTTCACATTTGACCCCAAAATGAGAAAAGAACTGATTTTCATACTCACACTTTGCAGCTGAGATGCCAGTTCATCATCTTCTTGCTTCATTTCGTTATCAGAGGTTACAACATGCTCTGTTCCTTCTAAGTGATATAAAAAAATGACATCATAACATTAACCACTCATTGCGAATTATGATTACAGTGTAAACAATACAGTTATTTTTTTTACCAAACCAATTATTGACTGATGGTATCCAAGTGGTGTGATATGCAGTGATATACATTTCTAAAAATAATAATTAAAATGAGTGAATTTGTTCAAGAATTGATTAGTTTTTTGCTTGGATTGTTTTTCATGTTTTGCAAAGCATGTATTTATGTGTGTTTTGTAGTTTTGAATACAGCGATAATCTCACTCATTTCCGTTTATGTACTCAAGCCTTTCTAAGCATCCACTGATGCTATTGGTTAAAAATATACTTAATGTCAAATGTCAAAGTTGTGTAGAGATTTCTAGTTTCAAATGGGTTTAGTTCAGACAGATTTTCAGTTAAAACTGGGTTCAGTTCAGACAGGTTTCAAGTGGAAAATGGGGTAAGCTTATTCGGGTTTTTAAATTAGGACTGTGTTCAGTTTAGACAGGTTTCCAAATGAAAATGGGTTCAGTTCAGACAGGTTTCAAGTGGAAAATGGGGTCATTTCGTTCAGGTTTGAAATTGAAATTGTCATGATAGACTGACATTCAGCCCTAACTAATCGATAGAAGGTATTTTGGCTCCATGGATGAAGTATTATTGACCTATTGCTAATTTGCATATTTATGAGTAAACCTAATGCTAATTTGCATATTTATGAGTAAACCTAATGCTAATTTGCATATTAATGAATAAACCTGATGCTTAACATTTGCATATTAATGAGTTAAACTGATGCTAATTTGCATATTAATGAGTAAACCTAAAGCTAATTTGCAAACTAATGAGTAAACCTAACGCTAATTTGCATATTGATGAGTTGACCTGTTTATTTCAAACCAAACTCCAGATTTTGATCAAAATTAAAATAAAACAATGACAAATTTGGTCAAATTTGTAGTGACCGTTAACATTAATGCTAAATAATTATTTACACTCATGTGATAGACATGATACAAATAATAAATACAAGTTTATATAGCGCCTAGTATCCATCGCAGTGATGCTCAATGACGCTTAGTTTCACAGATAGGCTTGCTGAAACAGGTAAGATTTGAGTTTTGTTTTGAAGATGTTCACATTTGGTGCAGAACAAATGTCATTCAGTAATTGATTTCATAAAGATGGCGAGGAATGGGCGAATGACCGGTCACCATAATTCTTGAGATGAGTTCTAGGTACAGTGTATGTTTCTTACTTGAGCAAAGGGTTCTCTGGTTTTGATTTTTGTGAATAAGGTTCCGATATGTATGGTGGTGTCAATCGATGAAGTGACTTGCATGTGATTAGTAAAATTTTGAAGTGTATCGTATAGTGAACTGCCAACCAATGTAATTTACAAAGAACAGGAGTGATATGATCAAATTGTTTGGTATGTGTTAATTAGACGGGCAGCACAAAATGGAGCCAGTTTATTTGTGAGATTCCCTAATTTGCCCATGACATTCATAATCTGTTTCTAGCACAAAACAGAGGATTCTGAAACAGATGCATGTGTATATGTATGTGTAAAGTTTGAACATGATCAGTACAGCCATGGTAGCAATATGGCTCAAAAAACAGCATTCGTTAATCAAAGACAGCTTAAAAAGAACTCCCGTGTGCTGAAAGTATTGGAGACACATTAAAATTAATTCAAAATTTAAGATTTGCTTTTCAAACAAGAAGCTTGGCATCTCATTTTTATCTGCTATTTGAGATGCATAACATGAAAAAAATATGATTCACATTATCAAAATTTATACATACATACAGAAAATGTATTATGCATAGATTTAGGTCTGTATATTGTTTCAGGGCGCACATGTACAAAGTTCATTATAATGTGATGATTAACTAAATTAGTGAAAGGCTGAAAGGTAAATTATTATGCAAATTAGGTAATTATTATAGATATATATATAAACCTAAATCTAATTTGATCATCACATTGTGTTAGAATACAAATTCATTAAATTAAGATAAGTACTGTTGCAGACAATCTTTGTACTGAGTTTTATTGAAATGTGATTAGAACCAAAAATTATTATTTATGTAAATTAGGTAATTAATATGATCTGATTTTAATTCAAAACTGAGCAGGTCTGTGCATTGTTCTGGAGCATCAATGTACCAAGTTTCATTGAAATGGAATAATTAGTACATGTGATAGTGTAAAAGCTGAAAATTGGTTAAATATGCAAATTTGGTATTTAACATGCACATATTTACTTAAAATTAATCAGGTCTTTAGATTGTTCTGGAGCATCTATGTACCAAGTTTCATTGAAAAGTAATGAAGTAATAGTACTTGAAATATCAAAAGCTGAAAAGTTGATTAATTATGCAAATTAGGTAATTAATATTTCACATATCTGTCTGTTTATCGTCCTATGCATCTATGTAAGTTTCATTGAAATGTGATGATTAGTACCTGAGATATCAGTGGAAAAACTGACTATTGACTAATCACTATGCAAATTAGGTTAATTATATGCATGGATTTTCATCCAAAACTAATCACATCTGTGCACAAGTCTAGACCATCATGGAACAAATTCATGTGTATATGTATGATATGATGTGTGTGAAGTTTGAATGAAATCGACCTAGGCATGTCTGAGATGCAGACGAGCAAAAATTATAAGTTCCTGTTCGAGCAGGGACTAAAAAATATTTTTTTTTGTTGAAAAGTGACAGAAATTGATTTTGGTGCTTGAAGGTGTAAATACTACAGGCATTCTCATGCATGGAATTTCTTCATCAAGACAATAACAATTATAATCAAGTAAATGATTAGCCTCTCCAGAGGGGGCTGTCTTTACAACCTCCAGTCTTGACATTACCAATTTGAGAGGCTAGTAGAGTTAGTGTTTGAATTGTGAAAAAAAACCACATACCTTTAGGAGGACTGCATTCCACAAGTTTTTCAACTCCATGTGCATTCTCATCTTTTGAATCAACAAGGTTAGTCTTTTTTAGACTATTTTCTTCTGTAGTTAATATTTCTAATTTTAAAGATGATTTCAACTGTTTTTCCAGCTCACCCATACTTTTCACAACTCTGACACTCAAATCTTCTGTATTTTTAATTGGTTGGTTTTCCTTCTCACTATCCACTCTAGTCCTTCCTTCATAACTTACAGATCTACTTGGCTCTGTATTACTGACATGGTTTTTAAGATATTCACGATTTCCGCTATTAAAACTTTCCCACTGCTTTGGTGAACTCTGTTGTAACTGTCTGCATTTATTCTGTTTTCCCTTTTCCTTTCTCTGTACAGTTTCCCAGCCATCTCCATCTTCAAGTTATAAAGACAGAAACTCAAAGTTAAACTCTGCTTGGGTGTGAATATACAGTATACAGTATATGTATATGTATGTTGTTTTATGAAAAGTATCTATAAAATGAAGATTCCTAATATAATAGTCAGTGAAGGAGCAATGGCATTAGCGATTAGAAAATGTTGCTTACACAACTTGAAATAAGACAAAATGCAGACTAGCTACTTATAAATTAGCTATTTAATTTGCATGGCCATAAAACTATTAACCATGTCTGTCTATTATCACAAGATACCTTTGTACTAAATTTGATCAAAATCCACTCAGAAGTTTTGAGTTTTTGCTTACACAGGCTGAAATGAGATAATTAATATGCAAATTAGTTACTTTATTTGCATGACCATGACCCCAAAACTAATCATCTCTGCACATTATTCAACGGTATGTACCAAATTTGATCAAAATCCGCTCAAAAGTTTTTGAGATTTTGCTCAGACAGACAGACAGACAGACCAAACTCATTACTCCCTTGTGTGCTTCTCGCACACACAAGCTATAAAATGTGAAAGATTAGGAGATATACTATTCCCCATAAAATGTACTCACCTTCCACCTCCTTGGCTATCTGGCCTTGGTTTCCTACGATCTCTTTGTCTTGAGTTTCCACTGATGACTTCACCGTGACTGATCCTTTAACTTTATCAGCCCAGCTTAAACCACCTGATTGTGAGTTGAATGAAACTCTACAAGAAAATTATCAAGAATATTACATTATTAGAAGCACCATTCAGTAGGCTGCAGCTCCTCATGACATGTGTCACATTTCAACGTTTGTTTAATTTCAATTTGGGATCATACACTGTACCTGATATACTTAAAGCCAGCACTAAAATAAACTGACCAGAAAAATTGCTATCTCCCTATCAATCTTCTTCGCAACACTGTAATTTTTCTAGCAACATTGCCAGCGATGATTGTTATGAAATTGCCTTTGATCGTGGAAAGTAAGACAACTCGTATTTTGATGCTATTATTGTCCCTGGCAATATTAACCCTTTGATGCTATTATTGTCCCTGGTAAAATTCATGTGCAACATTTTGCAAGTTTTTGTGTATAATTTGTTGTTGAAAATTTAGACCAAATTGTCGTAATTCAGTATTGGTTATAAGTTTTCATCAAAATTTTGAAATAATTATGTGTATGTGGGTTTAAAATTGGTGAATGGTGACTAAAAGTTGAAAAAGGTTGAAAAGGTCTCAGTGTTTGAAACAAAATTTTATGTGAACAAATAAAATTTCACTGTTTTTCAAATGTAGAAAAATTCAATAATTCACCATTTCCATATTTCAGGCTATTTTTATCACTCAAAATCTGATGTCATTTTGAATCCAAATCCATTAATTTCATTTGAAAATGTTTTCATCCACTCGCTGTTTGAATCCGAGTAGTGTCCATTGCACTCTAGCAATGCATATTTCTCAAGAAAATAGTAATGCCCAGAAGCATCGACTTGTTGGGATTGTAAGAGTCAAACAAATATTGCTGGCAATGTTCCTAGGAATATTGCAACACAGATAGCAGTTTTCACATTCAGTTTATAAGATACAGGCTGTAATAATTCATGTACATGTGACTAAGGGGTCCAGAACTTACCCTGGTTTGGTGGTGCCCTGTGAGGAGAAATTCAGACTTCTATTCACCGGACTAGGGGAACCTCTGTCTCCAGAGGAGCCAGCTACCAGGGATTTACCTGGTGAGGACTTCCTAACTTCCCACGCAAGAGAAGTTGGTCTACGATAAAGAAAAGCAGAGAGTTGACATGTGCTGGCTGTAGAAAATTGCTTGTACAGAAGCCTTTTTATACAATGTTAATGAATGTCTGATTTGTGATAAAGCCCTCAGATAAAGAAGAATCAGTAAGTTGCCCTGTCTTACTATACTGCACCAGTGCAAAACAAAGCAAAGGTGACTGGTAAAAATACATTGAGCATTGAGCACAAAGCAACCTTACACACCAGTGCATTGTAAGACAACAAAGAATAGTTATCGTTAAGACAAGTACTTATTTTGAGCATAGATTAATACTAATAGAACAAATGTGTCCTCATTGAGATTGTGAGGTTTTATGTTCAGATGGCACTGTTTGTAAGCCTTCAAAAAACACACCAGTAGGTAGAATGTCATAATTCTAGCAAAAGTTTATTTGGTATATTTCTTCTATGACTTCTTTATTATTTGTGGAGCACATACATAGACATAATTTCTGATTGACTATAAATTTGTTTGAAAAAATATGGACAAAAGTTGACTTTGGCAATGGGCCATTCCAGTTTATATCTGCACCCCCCCCCCCCCCCCCTGTTGATGAGCTTGTGTGTTTACTTCATACAGGGTCTATATGTTTCATGGGTGTATAAGTCATACAAAGGTTTAATTTCCAAATCACCATTCACCATACAGTAATGGAAATCCAAAACTATAGTTCCTACTCGCGGTGTTGATGAGTTCCATTGTGCCACCATACAGAGTAGGATTTCCAAATATAACTCTTATATGCTAATTTACTAAGTTCAAAATTTTATATTTGACAATGGAAATCCAAACTAGTCCTGATTCACGGTATTGATGAGCTCATTCCAATTTTTTTACCATATACAGTCAGAATTCCAAGTTTTTCATACTGTTGGAAATCCAACCTCATCAACCGGTATGTGGTGAGATAAACTAGGCCATATTTTATTTAGTAGCCATAACTGCCTGGATTTCCAGGATTTTTTTTTCCATACTTGTCTGGATTTCCAGATTCTGTTTCTCCACATACAGTTGGAATTCCGGGGGATTTTTCCCATCATACATTGCTGGAAAATTTGACCTCATCAACAGGGGGGTGCAGATATAAACTGGAATGGCCCAATCACAGGGTTGAATATTTCCATGATTAAAAGTTGACTGGTTGTTAATATTAATGGCAAGAGATGTATGTACGTGTACCTCAAAAGCGTATCTAGGGCGAGTTGTGAGGGCACACAGAAGCCACAACACTAATGTGTGCATGTTGATTTAAGTGTACATGTTAGTTCTATGAAGGCTTGCAGATACCACACAAAACAAGTCTGCCTGTACTACAGATTCTTTTTTTTTTTAATACAACAGTAAAACTAGTTTTCAATGGGGGATATACGATATGAAGATGTTGAGAGACAGAACTTAGCCAAGAAGCTAAGCCCAGGTTTAAAGTTGTCTGTGCCCAATTCAACCGTTCATTTTTGTTTAATTATGCACAATATACAGGCTAAGAACGTATACCGTATTCAATTTAACTGCATTTTTTGCCTTAGGCGTACATGATAATAATAAATTTCCAATGTTTACAGGTCGTATTGCTTTAGAAGATCTGTTTCTATCGAAAGTAGCACATTTATAGCATCTTCAATTGAAGAATTGGTTGACTTGCTTTTCATCTTCATGCCGTCAGAATGTACATGAGGATCAACACACATCAGTGATGTGGTTTCTGCGTGTCCGCACAAAATCATCACAGTACCAGAGTTGAAAGTTGACCTAAAAAATGATCTACATGTAACTATGCACCCTATTATCTACATAGATTTGCACCTTTTACTGTAACTCAGTATGGAACTTGTATGTTGTGTTTTCATAAAACACAATGCAAAAGCACTATTTTATATTTAACCAAATTTTAAAAATACCCAATCATAACATATAAATGTGTCACTATGCACAAATTTAAAATATGGAATTTGAACAGATTCTGGATATTTTAGAATCATCCTAGAGAAGATTTGTACAGGCATTAGTTATGTCCTCTGAAAGGTCAGACATCCTGGTAGTTTTTGGTGAAAGAAATTTAGTATTATTTAATGAATATGTGTAATATTAGAAATTATTGCTGTAATAATACCACATTTGACCGACTTAGCACTATATCTGATTTAGCATTTATTGCCCAATTTTGTACAATTATATATTTGAGGTCAAGTCACACACCTCTTCTGAACATCCCAAATTTGAAAAGTCATGAAAGTCAACCCTTTAAAATCACTAAGGTCACTGAGTGCTAAGTCAGTTGTCAAATATGGTACCTGAAAAATACCAGGATGTGTGACCTTTAGAGGTCATGCTTAAACCATCATCGACCTGACACAGATATATTACAGAATGTGTTCCATTATGTCTTTCCTGTGGAAAGGACAAACTTGTGTTCCATGCTGTGCCACAGAAGACTACAGCGACATATAGCATGCATTGTCTGCACATCTAACTGAACCCTAAGCATGCAAATGCAAATGAAAAGCTGAACATTACAGACCGCAGAGATCTACTAGGCTCTGCAGGCCACCCAGAGCGTCTCGTTTTACTTGGTGAACTTTTACGCACTTCCCACACTAAACAGGTAGGTCTGGAGAAGGAGTATAGTTGTAAAGATACACATACACAATCAGTCAAGTAAAATATCACAAAGCAAGCAAGGCATGTACACATGGTAATAGGCACTAATAAGATACAACATTAACATGCTTGTGTCTTGATTTTTAAACTCATTTAAAGAGACCAGAATAACTCCCTATGTTGCTCAATATAAGTGCCACTGGATGTCTAAATATGTTTGTCATAGAATAAAGAAAAACATTCAAAGAATTGGTATAAAATAAGCTACACAGAATAATAATCATGCAGACCTTAATTCCTTGCAAGTCAGCAACAACTCTCTTAACTAGTGAGCATTTAACTAAAGTTATACGAGTGCAGAGAATACCACAATACTGCCACAGCACTTACATTAAAGCAAAGCAATTATACAGTGACACTATTCAGACTGCAAGAACTCCTCTGACCTCACAAATTTATTCATTGACTACCTCCAACAAACTGACACACAATGGCTATATCAACATAAGCGCAGGTCACAACACGCCATTACCGATGACACTTAGAGCGATATAATTCACCAGGTGTCATTCATATGATGTGAAAATCAATATAAGCATTTTATCGATTAAGTCCCAAGCTCCCAAACCATTGTAAATGTAGTAAACTCATAATATTGGCCATCAATGAATGCTATGAATAGCTATGTGTGTATAGGTTTTCTCCAATCCATCCTATCACAGGCTGTGTTACATCCATGAGTGTACGTTTCTATGACCTGTGCAATCTGATTGGTTGAAATGTGAACCAATCAGGTCAAGTGTTGTACAGAACTACTTTATGAAAGATAAAACCGAAAGTATTATGATGTATTGAGTTTAGGCATGGTATGTGCTATACTATAGTTATGTTAGATATCTCAGAAATTTTTTTTTCAAATATGAATGATGAATGGAGTCACTGAAAACATAAATATGATATATAACAATCCCACAAATTATTAACAGATTTAGAAATTTATGTGAACAAATTTAAAATGTAAGTGCAGATAACCAATGACACAATCAAGTTATTGGATGAAAGTAGTTTATAATTTTGAAAAGTAAAATATCCAGAAGAGCAAAAAGAGTGTGTCACAGCTACGTCTTTGTTCAATATAAAAAACAAAAATGGAAGTGCAAACCACTGACAAATAGATTATTTACTGGTTGTCGTATTGGAGATTCACAGTAGGTTATATTCTACTACACTATTCATGTAATGCAAATGACATCAAATGACCACAAGGTTCAAGAGTATGCATTCATACCATTCTTGGCTCTAGACTAAACTACTATTTCTGCAGGGGAGAGAGGGTATCATAAGGACAGCGCAGGTGGACAATATTTACCTATTCTCTGCATCAGCTTTTTCAAATGCAGTCTGTAAACGAATCCTTTCTATCAAGGAGTCAAAATCTCTGGTACAGTTTGTGAGCATCATAATCACCTCCTAGAGAATAAAAAAACAACAACACAGAAATAAATAAATAGATCTGAGCAGCAAATAGTGGTAATGGTTAACTGGTCACATGCACTTTTATTAGAAACACGCTTCCGATATAAACAACGAAATGTACATCATGTACATACCAGTCTAAAGAACAATAAACTTGATTATTGCATACCTTGCACTCCACAATACTCTCATCAACTTCACATGTCTGGTATATCTCATCCACAGCACGTTCCAAATTATCAAATAAGAATGCCCAGTATCTGGCACGTAGGTCTATCTTTTTAGCCGGTTTGACCGGTGAGCCTGGTTTGACCACTGCTCTACTTCTTCCACTTGCACTATCTCTGGATGACTTGGTAGCTTTCCTCTGTGTTCCAAGTGATGTGGTTCGGCTTCTTGGTTTGAATTTACGCGGTGATCTTGATTTAGCTAAAAAAAATTGGTTTATTAAATTTAATAAATTTTTATATTATGAGAGGTGTATCTATGGTCAAGCATACAGTTGATGTATTTTTTGGTTTACATGTGCTTCTAGAGATGCGCTTCTAATAGAGCTAATACAGTTAGCTATCAAATTTAAATCTTAATAAAACCTTTATTATTTATTACAAGTTGAAATCTTTACCAACCACTGCTGTTTTGCATAACAATAGGCAATTTGCATATCATTGGGATGAACACTGCATAGTTCTAGTAAAATTAATGAACAGGAATACTAATAAAAAAGATAAAAGCTGCAAATCTGTTTATATCATCTTGTGACAGTTCTGAACGTAAATTGGCAGACATGAATATTACAAGTTATACAGATAACTTTCTGCTCTGCGATTAGAAAGACTGATTACAATTTTCATTATTACAATCATTCAAACATTCAATCACCATCATCTGAGGGAAAACAAATGATGTTGTGACAATGTACAGCAGATCATGAGTTATTGCTGATCAGCGAGTGCTATTTGTTGTCAAACAATCACATAGTAGTTTGAAAATAAAAACAAATGTCGTCATGAGGTATCGTCCAATACCAGCATATGATGACCACTTTCTATGTTCACTACTTTAATTACCATAATTAAACACCAATCAGAAACCTAATCCTTATCCTGTACTGTACGTAAAATCTCAATATGTAAAATACTAACCTTGTCCATCACTGTCGTCACTATCTTCAAACGGTACATTCCACACAACCAGATTCCGAGCTATTCTACCTTCTTTTTCAACTAATGTCCGTACTTTGTCATAACTGTTGGTACGTTGAAAATTACTCTGGAATTGAAAAAAATTGAAAAAAAACAATATTAGAATTTAACATTTCAAGGAAAATATAAATATCAGGAATAATAATGATATGTATGTCTTAAAGTGTGGTGGTCATCATGACGATCACTGCCATTTAACTCAGCACAGCCATTTGCCAAAACAGTAAATAAATTAAAGTAGTACATGTAAATATGGATGAAGTTTTGGAGAGAGTTCCTTTTCCCAACCCCTAATTGTAACTCTAATCTACGCCCCCAATTAAATTGTATATGCCCCATCTAGATAACTATAGATAATAATATTTATTCGCCATAGATTTTAAATATTACAGAAAAATCAATAACTAAGCAGCTAAAGTAAATAAATACAAGTAAATTATGAAAATATAAATGGTAATAATAATATAAGTTTCAATAGGGAAACAGAAATAGCACAAAATGACTAGTCAAGTCTATTGCCCTAAGATATATTGGAAAACATTTATGAAAGTATATGGTGAGGACATTATAAAAGTATATGGTGAGGACATTATAAAAGTATATGGTGAGGACATTATAAAAGTATATGGTGAGGACATTATAAAAGTATTTGGTTAGGACATTATAAAAGTATATGGTAAGGACATTATAAAAGTATTTGGTTAGGACATTATAAAAGTATATAGTAAGGACATTATAAAAGTATATGGTGAAGACATTATAAAAGTATATGGTGAGGACATTATAAAAGTATATGGTGAGGACATTATAAAAGTATTTGGTTAGGACATTATAAAAGTATATGGTAAGGACAATATAAAAGTATATGGTGAAGACATTATAAAAGTATATGGTGAAGACATAAAAGTATATGGTGAGGACATTATAAAAGTATATGGTGAGGACATTATAAAAGTATATGGTGAAGACATTATAAAAGTATAT